ATAAATATTGTTACAATAAAACGCTATCTAGTGCTTCAGTAATTGGTCCGCTGTTCCGCAAAGCGACAGATTCATTGACTATTTGTTCTAGAACATGCTTCTATGAGTCAGCGATAAGTACTAGTTAAGTGCGTCTATTGTTATTCACATATGATAATTTTAATTACTATTATACAACTATTATACAACTGTCTGTTATTAACTATACTTGTCTATATCTATACTATTATAATAAAGCGTAAACACACACTTCTTTGTTGCCTAAGATGTGCAATTACAGCATATTTTTGAATAATTCTTACTTAAATAAAAAGCCCTACATTTACGTCGCGCTTTAGTCTATATATTTTCACGCTATTAAACTTGGAGTAAATAAATTGGATAAAAACCCTAATGTGGGAAAGAGATCATAAGTTGCTGACAAACCATTGCAATCTTACTTCCTTGATGGAAGTAAGATTGCAATGGTTTGTCATCATGTCATGTCATTTTGACATTTGACAAATGTAAACAACAAAATAAAGTTTTTATAATTTCATGCGAATGAAGCCGCACGGGAACAGCTAGTTATTTAATAAAACATTAGGTAGGATGAGATAAGTGTGAGAATAAAATTCATTCTTAATTACTCAATAGCATGCGAAACAGTAATACATATAAAGAAAAGAAGAAGCATATAGAAATGTTCTACTGGCACATATAAAAAGGGAAAAGTGCAGTAACTAATAAAACATCCTTGAGTAAATAGGTCGACACAAGGTCAGACTCATACAAAGGGTTGTTTTGTATGCTAATCTTCCATTTTACTGAACAATCCAAGTATTTGCGACGCAATTCCTTCATATCCTCAACTCAAATGCATTAATACATGAGCGTGTTTGTATTGTAATGGGACACCGCACTTCCTACGAGGTTACCTCGTTAGTTAACACGTTTGTATTGTTAATAAACTTGTAGTTACATAACAGGAAACGTACTCAACATTATCAGGATAAACTTTGCACTTTAAAATATTCATATTATTTACCCTTGGACAAAACTTTCTGATTGTGGTATAAATATGGATTACGGATTCTTAAGTTATTTTTTTTGTATAACATAAGGCAAAAGAGCAAGCGGCCACCAGAATCCACCGAAATGGAAAGCGACCGCTACCCATAAACATCCCCAATTACAGATGCGTTACCTACCCTAGATTGATGAAGGATGAGACGCACATAAACAGGACTATTCCTCTTCCTATGGCTCTCCTCCACCGTCAAATCCACTTTTCCTTTCCATCCTCTCCTCTAAAGAAAAGTATGAATAGGGAAAGGGACTAAAATTAGGCCTCCGCCACCACACTCATCAGACAAAACGCGCAATTACTTCCACTTCACGTCTGTTTTCTGTGTAGTCGTGGTATTACACCGGGCGAGCCGGCCCTACAGTGCGAAGATGTTAAAGCAGGCTCTACCACTGTTAATTTATTCAAAAGGCATAAATTCGACGTTCTTAGAGCGCGCACACCTTTAAATAAACTACAACAGTTTACTCGCACTTTGATTTCTATTATTATATGAAGGTGCGCACACTACTCGATTTTTACTTTTGCATTTAAATAGTTGAATGGGCTGCGAAACAATCGACAATCGCATAACAGTTGAGCTATAGTTTAGTCAAAGATGTGCGTCCGCTCTTGAGATAAACATTGGTGATTGCACATTTCTACAAAAGATTTGTGTAAACTGGGGCAACGTGGTAAACCTAGTCACCCCCTCACATAGAGTTGCCTTAAACCTCTCGGTATGGACGTATATGAGCTGAGGACTATATGTTCAATCTTCATGTTTTAAATGCCGATATGTGCGTTGCAACACGATGTCTTCCTTCACCGTAAGAACATCGGGTAAATTATGTTCATATGAAATTCGAAAATAACATTGGTACGTGGCGGGATTCGTACCCAAGAACTGCTCACAAGTCATGTGCTTGAACCACTGAACCACAGACGCTCTTTTACCATACAAGTATACAACAATAAAGCACAAATTTAAATACAAGAGGAAAAAAGTCAAAAAGCACAAAAGATTCGTGCTCCGGCCACTTTTTGCCGCCCCCGGGCGTCCTTCGGAACTTGTTTTAAGTTTTTGTGGTCGCATACTGCCTTTCACCCATACTTTCCTCGAAGAAATTTTAAACGAAAAAATTGTAATGTAACGGTATACAGGTTCATAGCATGGAATTTTTCCGTTGGATGATGAAAAAATGTTTACAGTTATTATATTGAAGTCTAACTACAGTGCAAATATTTTTATTGCCTTTCTATTTATTCCGATTCTAATTGAAATGTAAAAAAACACGGGTATTATCAACACTCACGAACATACTCTTGATTGCTATCGGGTTGCTATCTTTAAGAGAAACCCTGCCTTTCGGTGGGAAGACAGTGTGATGTGGGGTTTGACCCCTTAAAACCTTTGTACCCAAGCTCGAGTGCGAATGGGGTTCCGGGATCTCCGCAAAAACGCACCTGAACCTGCATTTCAGAGACTAGAAAATATTCGCTATCACAAATAGGATTAGGACATCATGTCTAAATTAAAGCCTAAAAGATTTAACTTATCTAAATATATTGTTTTACCTATTTATATCCAATTGCTTTAACAAATACAATCGATTAATAAAACAATGTGCGCGGTATATTTTTTCTATACATCGTAATCGATTATGCCAAATCGATTTCAAGGACAAAGCCGGCACTACACTATATAGTAAATTATGCTAGTTTCACACAACAGTACGGTATGACGTAGTACTTACGACTGAAACAGAACAGAGTAAAAAGTAAATTTCAGCTTCTTTCTGTAAAGTTAAAAGTCCATGCATATTTATCTCTTCAGTTAGTAAATAACTAGCTTTCGCCCCTGACCCTGTCTGCGTGGAATTAAAAAAAAAACAAAAGTAAGTAGCCTATGTGTTCTTCCAGACTATCCTCTACATCCATACCAAGTTTCATCGAAATCCGTTCATTCGTTTAGGCTACAAACTAACAAACATCCATCCATCCATCTAAACTTTCGCATTTATAATATTAATATGATTAAATTTTTTTGTCATGTGTTGCTTTTTACAGTTTTGGGCTGTAGTGCTCTGCTGTATGACACTGTTCTACCCTTGTGTGAACAGTGTCTATTTTCGCTTCGCATTGCTCTACAAATACACTTGACAAATAGCACGGTCAGGCGATGCGTGATAACATATGAAAATATTAACTTTAGGGTTAAAAAACTTCCTAGTAGATTATTTCTTATACTTCAATTTATAGATAAACTAGCTTTCGCCCGCGACTCCGTCCGCGTGGAATTTAAACAAATAAAAACAAAAGAGAGTGGCCTATGTGTTCTTCCAGACTATCCTCTGCGTCTATGCCAAATTTCATCGAAATCCATTCAGCCGTTTAGGCTACAAACTCTATCAAACAAACAACCATCCATCTAAACTTTCGCATTTATAATATTAGTATGAAGTATGATTAGTATGATTATGTTCTTCTAAATTATTCCATAATATAAACCACTAAAACGAAAACTTTTTTTTAGAAAGCCTAACGCAACAAACATACTATTTCGAAACCATTTTATAACAAAACATCAAATGTTATTTAAGCAGGTCATTGGTCACAATGTTTACAAAAACAACACGAACAAATTATTTAGAATTGATTATTTTCAACAATTTTGTTTTGTGAACAATACGCTTGTTTTCGTGCGATAACATACACGTAATTCACACATGCTAATAGAACGGAAGTAATACATCAATAATAGCAACGATAACATCTTATACAATCTTACTAATATTATAAACTAGCTGTCACCCGCGACTCCGTTCGCGTGGAATAAAAAAAAACAAAAGTAAGTAGCCTATATGTTCTTTCAGACTATCCTCTACATCTATATCAAATTTCATCGAAATCCGTTCAGCCGTTTAGGCTACAAACTCTAACAAACATCCATCCATCTAAACTTTCGCATTTATAATATTAGTATGAAATATGAAGTATGATGAGAAACTTTGGATGGATGTTTGTTAGAGTTTGTAGCCTAAACGGCTTAACGAATCTCGATGTAATTCGGCATAGATGTAGTCTGGAAGAACACTTAACTTAGTTTTATTTTTTACAATACCACGCGGAAGGAGTCGCGGGCGAAAGCTAGTAACACAAAGTCTCCCTTCAAAGTATTTTCCTCACAATTGTGCATCACCAAATGTTTTACAAACAACACGGTTATATTTAAGAGTTTAGGGATGTCTGGTTAACCAACGCATCGTCTATTTCTACCCCATAGATGTAGGCAACATTTTTACAATCAATTTATGGAAGAAACACGCACTATCGTTTTTAAATCTTAAGGAGGGTCATTTATTTTAAGATTCATATTGTCATTGGAGATTTGTGCGTATTTCGATAGATAGAGAATAAGATAAAATTCTTATATGCAATTATATTATTATAATTATAGGAAAATTATTACGTCTTATAAGCATCTAGTAAACTAGATGGATAGTGGAATTCTTCCGCCTAACGCAAATTTCCTTCAAGGTCAGTGACTCATAAAACTCAGTTTGAAGACTGCCGAAATTGGGAATTCTAAAATTATTCATTTAATAACATTAATTTATTTAATGTCACTCGTTTTTTTATTTTAATCTGTATTCTTTTTTTTCCGTTTTAATTTTCTTTACATAAGATTACAAATATCCGTTCTAAATGAAAAATAAGTGATAAAAACTACGTAATTATTTTTAAATTAAATGTACGAGCGTTTATTTTTAAAAACATTTATTAAGTTCACGGAACTGCGAGTAGTAATTTATAAAATTAGCATTTGTAAATATTTCGAGATTGCCAGAATATATTTTTAATTTATTAACAACGTTGAAACAATGTTGAATTTTTAAAACATGTTTTCTATTTTCTAATAACAATTTTCACAGTAAGAGAAAATAATATTTACCTTTTCTACGACCGAAGGGTCCGCAGAATGAATTTCCTTTGCCAATTATGTTGTCATCGATGTATCTGATCAGCTTCCCGACGTCCTCGGACCTGTGGCCACGGGACACATTCCCCCATCTCGAAGGCAAATCTTCTTGCATGGATTCCGATTTACCTTTTGTACCTCTTGATTTTTTTAAAACACTAGTCATATTACATATCACATCACAAAAGAAATAATCGCGAATAAATCTCACTAATGCAGCAAACACTTTTTTGTTGTATTATTTGCGAATTGCAGGATAAAATATAAAAGTTAAAGGAATTGTTTTGGTTATTTTTTTACGCGGGCTCACGCGAACGTAGAACGCGTCGTCACAAGGTCAACTCGCGATACAAGTGAAGCGCGCGAGGTTACGCTTCGTGAACGCTCACTCAGTGGAATCGCCGTAGTAGGCGCACATTACCGCATTCTACGGTGTTGCCATATGATACGCTTTCGTACCATTTTGGTAGAAATTATTAAATATTTTTACAATTTGTGAATATTTTTTTTTTATGTTGAATGACTAAAATGGTGAATAATAACAAAATACTTACATACAATACATTTTACTCTACCAGGAAATTTTCTTTATGGTATTATTTTTTTCTGTACAATCAGCTTTCTCTGACAATTAACTAGATAACGTATTTTTCCTATTCGATGATTTACTTACCGTTTAAAAAAAATACTATTCTACGTTCAAGACACGAAACAGTATGGAATTATAATAGTTATTTTTTAAATGAAAGATATGACAACATAGACATATTGTTGCTCTGGCAACGGTCGTTGTTTGTTCTATAATATTTTATTTCTTATTCCTTCGGTGTTTTTCGAAAGTAATTTATCAAGATGATGAAGCTACAGATAGCTAACGATCGAGATAGAAAAGAAGCTCAGAATAGAGAACGGCGACGCCAATGCGAGCTTGAAAGAAGATCTAGAATTTTTAATGCCAGAAACAGGAAAATTGGCGTAAGTACCCACTTCCTTATTTTCTTTTACTGACGCTGTTTAACATTTTTAATTTTTAGACTAAATTATGCTAACTACACAAGTTAAGGAATAATTTGTTTTCTTAATATCATGAAAGAGAGTCAAAAGCTAGATTCCAAAAATATTTCATAAGTGTCACCTTAAGTTTTCTTACAATTTTCTTACAAATTAGTTTTTTATTACACTATTATAATATTGCAAATAAAAATTTTGTTTAAAGATCGATGTCCGTTTCCTGGAGCGTCAGGTCGAGGAGAAGAGAGCGGAAAGAGATGAGCAAGAAAGGAAGAACCTCGCGTTTGCACAGCAGATGATTAAGGACAGCAACCTCGCTGTCGTTCTAGAAGCAAGAGAACGAGAGGTATGCAGCATTAACTTCTTCAACAGCATAATTCCTACTGGACCTTATTACTAAAGTTTTTTTTTTAAGTAAAGACAAATATTTACATTTGAATACAATATCTAGACGAGATTCAGACAAAATTGATATAACTGCAAAAGTATTTGAAACAGATTAAAACGTTTTACCTTTTAAATATTAATTTATTCGTAACTGTCTCTACACGTCAGCAAAGTAGGCAAGGTAATACAAAAGTGGTTTATATTGCCTTCAATTATGTTCAATTTTCCAACCTAAGATCGGCGCTATATCTCCATATACCTACGTGTTGAGGGGTTCACCGGTAAAGGTAGATCTAGAAAGGGATGGATTGATTACGTGAAAGGTGAATCAAAAAGGGAGAGACTGAGATGACAGATGATAGAGTTATTTGAAGGATGAAAACCCGATGAACCCCTACGGGAGTAGAGTAAGATAGGAGAGATGATTATGTCGTTGAAAACTAAAGCTAAATAGTAACTGGATTGACGGATTTGCGGTTTGTAATAACAATGTATTATTCAGGAGCGTCGTCGTATCGGCTTGGAGATTAATGAATACAGATATAGATACCAAAGACCTGAGGATCGCCGGGAATATGACTTGAACGATCCTGAAGTATTGAAGAAGCAGCTGCCTCCGCGAGCCTCTGATGACAACCCCGTCGGCTTGTCCAGTGCACAGAAGTAAGAGTTCTATTTTATCAAAACAGATACAAATTAAAATATTCCTTTCTACTGATACTGGCAACACTGGTTTTGTAAATTCCCACAATCATAGTTAACTTAAATTTTTAACGACAAATTAATCTACCTTCTTCCATCGACGCTAGTGAAATTGAATTTGAAATTGATATTTTTCACATGAAAATTGAAATTGTCTATAATTCTAGGTTTGAAGGTGAAGATCTCAACTATGAGGAACGTAAGAAGATAATGGCAGAACAGAAGAATGCGTGGCTCGAACAGCAGGTGCAGGAGAGGAAGGCCGCTGAAGAGGAACGGAAGAAAGCGGAGGAAGCATATATGGTAACACTGTCTTACTTTACTATATACTAAAATTATAAAGAGGATAGATTTGTATTTTTGTATGTATTGGAATAATTCAAAAACTATTGGGCCAACTAAACAAATTCTTTAACCATTAAAAAGCTACAATATCACATAAGCTGTTTTTTTTTTTCAATTTAACGTGGAGATAGTTGTGAGCAACAGCCAGTTTAAGATATGCATAGATGTTTTCTTACGAAAAAATAAACGGATCTCGCCGAAATTTAACACAGATGTAGAATATAATCTGGAAGAACACATAGGATACCAATTACGTTTTTTAAAGACTTGGTCTTGTTTCCGATCGAAAAGATTCTAGAGTATTTATTATTGAGAGATTTATTATTTAATATGCAATAGTTCTTGAGCAGTATCCGGGTTAATCTGTGGGTGTTACTGTCTCAAGCGATACCTTCCTTTTGTGACGAAGCCCTGTGCGGTTGCGTTTCCTCAATTCATTGGAATAAATCAATCATCATAAATCGACCGCTTCCTTTGGCGTAATGCAATCGTTTTCTTTAAGTATGTAATGGAGTTTTTATATGGTCTAAAGATACATAACTTGTTTTTTTATTTTGTTTTTATAATCTTCAATTTATGTAATTATATGTACTTAGTAATCCAATTCAAATCATAGATTTTTTCAGATATGTATTGCCTTAAGTAATTTAAATTTTATTTACTAAATCATAGATGGCGATAAAATCGCGTGACGCTCGAGCGAGTGAATTGGACCAGCTGGAACGAGAATGTAGATACCGACTGGGACAGGCCAATCTGCGCTATAATGAAGCTTTAGTAAGTAAAAGAACAACACTATTTCTTTACAATTAAATCACTTTATCAATATAAAATTAGACATGGGTACCTCAACTAACATTGATGAGCTGTAGATCAGCTTACGGTTCACATGTGTGAATCAGATCAATAAATCGACTCGCAGCTCAGTTAAATTTGTAACTGCATAGAGTAATGATTTGCGTTTTGAGCTGCGACTCACATAGTTATATTACATCGTGGTCAGCTATGAGCTACCAATTTAGTTGTTGGAACTCAACAATTCACGTATGTGACCTGCACATTAAAACCAGCTCAGAGCTGATTTAACATTTCTAATGTTAATAGTTACGGCGCCTGTGTATAGTCTAGCAGCAATTATTTCTAAAGTGATTATTTGTGACATTTTTTTTGACACAATCCAGCTAACCTAGATTTATCCTTTAAGGTGTAACTTCCGAGTCATTACTACTTCGTAAATTATTATGTATTTATATGTTGATGTTTTTTGTATCATAGGCAGCTGAACGTAAGCAAATCAAGCAGATATTGAAGGAACAAGAGGAGGCGGATAATACCGCGGAGATGTACAACAATCTGACATCTGACATGCTCACTGAGAACCCAGATGTCGCTAAGAGCGCCCTCGGAAAGAATAGGTGATATTTTGTCATTTTACTAACAACTTATTACAAAACCACACACACAGAGACTCTTATGCAACTTCAGAATGAAAAATGAACTACTAGGTGCATTTTTACTACTAAGTGAATATAAGATACTAGCTGTCCCCATGCGGCTTCATCCGCATGAAATTATAAAAACTTTATTTTTGACGTTATGTCGTATATGTGACATTCTCAATTGTAAAGATCAAAATTCAAATGCAAAAATGACGACGATGGCAATTTTACTTCCTCGATGTTGGCAACCCGTAGCTTATGGTCCCTTTCCCACATGAATATTCTTGTTCAATTTATTTACCCCCTAAGTTTAAGGGGGTGAAAATATATGGCCTAAAGTATGTCGTAAATGTAGTGCTTTTTACTAAAGAAAGAATTATTCAAAAATATGCTGTGATTACTGACATCCTACGCCATAAAGTAGTGTGTGTTTACGCTTTATTATAATAGTATAGATAGATTGCGATAAACATTTGCTATGTAACGTGGTTCCTGATAAATGTACAAGGAACAAATGGGAGAAGTTGTGAGAACGTTTTACATCAGAAAAATTATTACTTATAATTATTGACCTTACTAAAATAGCAATACATTTCTGCATTAGTAAATGTTGAAACTATTTTAAAGTTGCTTTTGTAAGCGCGTAATATAGAAGTTAAGCGATGTAGAGGGCTTTAAAGTTAACAACGCTTCTGTTTCTAGAGCTTTTGACCTTTGAGCTTTGAAAGCTTTCGAACAATGTGCTGTTGAACTTTCGCAGCATCGCACTTTGTGATAATTACATCAAAACATAATAAAATTTTAAAATAATAATCTTAAATATGGCCTATAGAAATAGACAAAAATTGTCTGTTCTCCAAAAGTGAGACATTTTTTTTACTACATGTGTTTTGGGCAGGAAATTCAATGACACAATTTATTGGAACAAATAATATTGAAAATGTTTTAAACATAAGTTACGATTTAGTCGGTACTTTATTCGATTTTATAATAAAAAAAATCTTCCAGAGCTATCGGTTTCATGTACAAAGGCATGAACCAAGAGGAGTTAAAGAAGTTCTATGCTGCGCAGAAGGAACAAATGGCAGCCAATAAGGTTTGTTATTGCTTAATTGTGTTTTATATCTTGTTTTGATAACCTATTAAATCGAAATATTATTCCAGGCGAAGAGAGATGCTGCAGACAAAATGGAGGCGGAGTGGCAAGCTTTGTCTAAATCTATACAGCGGGAAGTCGCACGTCAGGATATACTGGATCAGAGACAAAGAAGGTATTATATAACCTCTAAATAATAATCATAACCTAAAAGTATTGTACACTAGCATTTGCCCGCGAAATCCGCGCGGAATTAAAAAGGACCTCAGCATATGTTCTTTCTTACTAAGTCAACATTTGTGCCAAATTTAATCTAAATCCTTTCAGCATTCTAGGCTCCAAACCCTAACAAACATCCATCAATACTTCCGCATTTATGTTAGTACTTCAAAGTATTATACATAACCTCAAAGTGTAACGTCTTTGTGTGTCTTGATTATTTCATTTGAGGTTAATTAATTTCACTTTAATTAGCGTTGCAACCATGTACATTTTTTTACAGGGAAATGGCTAAACAATTGATGGAAGAGAATCAATTATTGGCAATGCAGCAGAAAGAAAAGGAGAAATATTTCAAAGAAGTTGTGTACAACAATACCCCTACTGATGAATATTATTCTCAATTCAACACAACTACAAGATAAACCAAACGGTTTTGGAAGTTTTCAAAATGTCAAATTTGATTTTTAATTTGTAGTTGGCATAGCTTGTTAAATGTCAAAATTAATGACAAATTCTGGGTTGCCATTTAATTATGAAAGGCTTTTTGACTCAAAATAGAATTCAGTTTCATTCAACTTCTCGTTATTTATCTTAATATAATCTTAAAAAAAAATAAAACAAACATTCTTTGCTTACAAACTGTGGCTCATAATAAAAATTTGATATATACAATTTAAGAAATCATACTCACGAATTAAAACACAGTATAAAAGAAAATAAAACTTTATTAATAAAATAAAACATCAGCAAAGAAACAAACGATGGATAAACGACTAGAATAAATAAATAATCGCAAATTCTATTTGCTATAAATACCAATTTGGCACCATGAGATCAAAACTATCGCTGTAATGTTGCTATACCGAAAAATCCACTTAAAGTGGTAGAATTATTAATGTTGCCATTTCATTCTTCTAAATTAGTCACTTTACTACCCTCAATCAGACCTTTACTCTCTAAATTGATAATTGAATCTGCAATAATTTTTGCAGTCTTTCTAAGATATCCTCCACTTGTCAACATTACTATCGGAATATTATGCTTCTTACATTGTTCGAAAACAAACTGGTCTCTTTGAATTATACCCTGAAAAGTAAAAAAACATTTAATAATTTTATGCAAGAAAGGGACATAAACTATGAAAATAGCAGCAAAACCAGATTGTCATGGTAACGGTAATTGTTAGCCTCGTGTGCAATTGAAAGCTTGTTTTTTTCATTTATTTAATAGCTTTTACCCGGTATTCCGACCGCGTGAAATTTCAAAATAATAAATAAATGAAAAAATATAGCCTATGTTACTCACAGATAAATTACCTTTTTAACGGTGAAAGAATTTTTAAAATCGGCCCAGTAGTTTTTGAGCCTATTCATTACAATCAAACAAAGTTTTCCTCTTTATAATATTAGTATAGATGGATAACTTAAATTTAGTTAGAGATATGTAATCAATAATAGTTTAAATAATAATCAGAATTGAATGTATTTACCTCTTCAGTAATGCAAAGATGTCCGAGTGGATCTGACTCCAATACATCTGTGCCCGCGTTGTAAACCAATATATCAGGCTTGAAGTCGTCAAGTGCAGCTTTTAAATGTCTGAGGATAAATAAAAAAGAAACAAATTCAATAAGATTTTAACATTTCCAGCCGAATACTGAAACGAATCATACAGTTCGCTTAAACATTGCTTAAAATGTTGTACGAATTTTTTTTTAAAATGGAATTTAGAGTTTGAATATAACCTCATTTAAAATTCTGTTACATATTTAAATCTTGTTTCAGAATTCAGTCTTAAAAACCACTAAGACATGGTAATGTTTAAGGTTATTTTTATTTTAGATTATTTTTAATCAGGGATGGGGTGGAGGGAACACATAGAAAGAGAAGATATTTTCCCTCCTTATACACCCTCTTCCCATCCGTTTCTTGTAAGAAAAGGATAGGAAAAGGGTATTAAAATTCAACTTGAACAAGTTGGTTATCAAAATCGTAAAGAATAGACTTATAGGATGATGTTTTAACTTATTATTCTGTATACTTTACCTAAATCTAGATAAAACTTACTTATGCAACTTAAGTAAATACTCCGTATCATCAACGAGATGGTCTAACTCCACTTTCCTTCGGATGGCGCGTTTCGCCTCCTTATCTTTAGGATATATGTGTCTATTGTACATATCCATTATGTATACCTCCGGCACGCCGAGGAAATCACGCTGGTAACCGTTACCCTGAAAAGCATTTGTTATCTTATTTCTTAATAATATTATAAACTGGCTTTCGCACGCGACTTCGTCCGCGTGGAATTAAAAAAAAACAAAAGTGAGTAGCCTATGTGTTCTTCCTGGCCTTTAAGGCTATAAACTCTACCAATCATCCATCCATCCATCTAAACTTTTGCATTTATCAAATTAGTAAGATGTGACGGTTTAGATGGATGTAAGTTTGTAGCGTAAACTTCTGAACTGATATCGATATTTGGCATAGATGTGGAACATAGTCTGGAAGAAAACAAAGGCTACTTACTTTTTAGTTCCACACATACGACGTCACGAGCGAAATCTTTTATTATTATATTTGCCAAAGTTAATATAGATGGATATTTGTAAGAGTTTGTAGCCTTAACTGCTTAACGGATCTTGACGAACTTTGGCATAGATGTAGAACATAAGAAGAACAGTATTTCGAAAGCTGGTGTTTTCAAATATATGGAAAATAGAACCTAAAAATCATACCTGATGTGCATCTAAATCCACGATCATTGCATTCTGTATCATCTCATTGTCGACAAGAAAGCGGACCAATAATGTTATATCTGCATATGGACAGAAACCACCTCCTCGTTCCGAGCTACAGTGATGGAATCCTCCACCAACATTGATAGCCCAGCCTCGTTCTAAAGCCAACTTGCCAGCTAATACTGAACCACCGGTTTGTAACCTTAGAAAATAAAAAAAATTAATAAGTTCTCTCAATTTAAGAGATATTATCTATTTTCATATTATATCTATCTCTACATATATTAAAATTGGAGTGTCTATATGAACATTTGGGAACATGATGTTTTTGCTAATAATGAAAAATTGAATTAAAAATAATTCTGCCCAGAAGCCATGTTGGTTCTCATAATTTGTAATATGGTTGGGCCAATCAATTTGTGGCAAAAATGAAACAGAAACTAACCTGTCCATTTGTAGAGGTCACTGCCAATTACAATATTTAGAAAAAGAATAATAAAAAGCTATATTGAGATACACTATAAAATTTTTACCTCATCGGTTTCAAGTATGCATATTGTACAAGAATATTTGGTAAGCAAGCAACCACTGGAACCTCTGCGATAACAGCCACTTTGGGGCTCCACTGAAATAAACAATAATTGTTCAATGATTTCTGCCTACCTTAGACATTGATTATAGATAAAAGGACTAAGCAAATTATTGCTATTGTACTAAAGAACTTCAGCCACTTTTCATTGAGGTTGAAGTAAAAATGAAGATACATGTTACACAAATTAATACACAAGGAACAAACTTTAGAACATAGTGTTCATTTTTGACACACCTGATAGGTCCTGTCTCTTGAAAGTCTAGGAGCCCAGGGTATAGGATTATGTTGAGTGAAAAAAAAAACAATTAAACCCCTCAGTTCTCATACCTTAAGTGATCGCAGATACTTCTTAGTGTGAACAACAAGTAAGTCTTCTTTCTTAGCTTCATTAGGATGTACCAAACAATCTTTTGTTATAAGTTTTGCACGCAGCAAATGCTGTAAAGTAATCAATATCTTTAATACTCAATAATAATGTTAATAAGCTATTATCTACTAGTAAACAGTCTTACATGGATAAATTAAAAAAAGTAACACTCTAATGTATAAGTAACAATATTTTAATTACTGTTTATATCGTATTGCCGGAAAAAACCAACCTGTATGATGTTACCCCATTTCTTTGCATCAAATATATGTAATTTTTCCAAGCCCAGAACAGAAACATTATATTTATCATCGTAGATAAGAGGCCACTGATCATCTCTAATATCGAAGTAAAGGCTAAAACAAGAAAGACACCGGTTCTTCTTGTATTTGCCTTTTATAATTGTGTTACTATTCTTAAATTATAAATATTACTTACTGTGTCATGGTGGAAATTGGTTATTCATTACTTAACATTATTTTTAATTGTTACTGTAGATTTTTAATGAATTGTTTCTACATTTGTAACTGTTTGCGAATTATACAATTTTGCATTTTTATTGACATAACTGACGTTTGACAGTTTAAATTTATGACTGACAATAAAATTTTCGTTAAGAAACAGACATACTGTTTTTTCAATTTGGTATTTATGTGCCAATATAGTTTATTTAAAGGTTTGTGATTATTATTTAAGCATTTACTAGTGAAAAAGATCCTAGAAATTGAATTTTCAATGCATAACACGGTCTTTATTATTTTAAAATTATCACGTTGCATAGCAACCAAAATTGACATTTCTTCGCGGGAAATGTAAACAAAATGATAACCTGGAATAAGAAATTAAATTATACATTAGTGAATCATCCACTGTTAAATAATTTAAAAGCGTAACACTATTACTCTAAAAAACTAGTTGAGTAAATAAAATTCGTAATGAATAACGACTTCCAAGATTTGGAATCTGAAGTAGAGTTTTACAGGGTAATCAATTCTCATGATAATTTAAGTTAAAAAATGTCTGTTTAGTTGTTATACGATTATACTTATGGTTTAACTATTTTATAGCAAAATCAAGCTATCGTGGAACAGGAAATAAAAACATTAATTGCGGACAATCAAAAACTTTCCCAGCAAGTAGGGATATTGTTGAATGAAAAACTTCAGAATGCTCAGCAAGAGAATAATCATGACAAGGAATTCGAAGACTTGAAGAAACAAGTTACCTTACTTACAAAGGTAATATTTGGTAAATGATTTTGTCTTTTTTAGTTGATTTAAATACTGCATCGCGAAAAGATATGTACTACCCTCTTTGAAATGCTAATACTACTTCTTGATCTTATTTTAATAGGAAAATCTATCGCCGGGTGTATAACAAATTTACCTTTAATTCCGTATTAAAATACTTGGGGAATTTGCTGTAAACGAGGTCGTAGCAAGTAACTACCGTCCTTGAATTGAATAGGCGCTTATCACTTTTTTACTTGTCTAAGTTAAAGTTACTAAATGCGGGCTTGCGTCCGTTAACGATTCTATTTTATATTCCTACAGGAGAGAGACTCTCTACACGTGCTCTGGCAAACCTCACAGAAAACGATCGATGCGCTCGATAAGGAATTAAAAACTTATCAAATTTACGATAATAGGAAATATAGAGATGTAAGTATTTATTATTTCGTTATTCATAAATATGTATACAAGTTTCTATTGTCATAGTGTACAGTTAGGGAAATTGGCAGTGTTGCACTTATAAATCTATAATCGTTTGAACATTTTGAAGAGAGACGCGAAACACAAACGAATACAATGCAGCTTAAAAATCTGTAAAAAAAAGTCTGCTAGTAATACACGGCTTACTTACTTACTGCGTTGGCACAGCGACCCAAAGTGGGTCTTGACCTCCGACACGAGAGAGCGCCAGCGTCGTGTGTCCTGCGTCGTCGCCTGCCAGTCGATCGACTCTAGCTGGCGCAGGTCCAGCTCTACGATGTCTCGCCAGCGGTATCTAATACACGGCTAATTTCTTTTTATTATCGTTCTCTCGTTTGCACTCACTGTTATCTAGTTAGGTATTTGTAAGAAGAGGCGGAATTTGTCTCGTTGCAATGAAGAAAGCAATTATTCCTAATGTGTAACACTGCAGATTTCCGCGACTGTACCTATCATAGTGTTTTGTTACTTTAAACTCACACAAACACTCTTTTACAGAACGACGTAGAAGACAGAAGAAGTTTAGAACTAAAACTCGAAACATCGCTTAACGATTATGTTGAATTACAATCGAAATATGATAAATTAAAACGTGAATTCGATATATCGCAAAATGATTTGAAGAGTTCACAAAAAGACATACAGAGTTATAAAGAAAGAGGCAAAGATTTGGAAAATAATATGAATGTAGTTGAGAAAAATCTAGAAGAATGTAAAATAAATTTGGCAGCAGAAAGAAAAGCGAACGAAGATCTAAGGCAACAATTAATAGTCTGCCAGAAAGAGAGCGTAGACAGAGTGAAGAGAGAAGTTGAAGCGAAATCTAAGGTGAATTATGTTTGTTTATTAACAAGCTGATGCTCGCGACTTCCTCCGCGTGGAATTAAAAAAAAAATATTAAAAAAGCAGCCTGTGTCATTCAGTGGTTACGTAACTTTTTAATCGTGCAAGAATTTTTAAGTCGACCAGTAGTTTTTACGTCATTTCAACATATACAAAAATCCCAAAATGCAAATATTTCCCCTTTATATTAGAGGGTCCTTCTATAGAAAGAGTAAATTTTTTATTTTGAAACCCAGTCGTAGTAAAATCTCGAATTCTTGAGTTACAATTTTGTATTAGGAAATTCCCGTATATCTTCAAGGATTGTTATAGAAAAATCTATATATTCTCTAATTCCCTCTATAATTAAAGTTAAAAAATCTAGAAATGTAAAGAATATGATAGAAGAATATTTTTAGGTCGCCGAAGCCTTACAACTCTTCGACGTAGTGTCAGCTCAGAAGAACGAGGCTTATCGGAAAATTGCAGAATTAACCGGTTCGTAGATCTTTATGGTTAAATAAAAAGAAACGAGTTACTTATTTCAAATACTTACACACTCACTGCAGTTAAAATGAATACACACCTTGTTAAAAAAAAAAAACTAATGTTGACAACCTTTGTTTCCAGGTGTTATAAATAATCTTCGACATAACATAACAAAAGTTAAACAAGAAACGGAAATTAGTTTGAGAGCGGAACTGGATGAAGTTAAAGACAAATGTAATGAGAAAGTATCAGATATGTTAGAGCATATAAGAAGTCTAGATGCTGAGTTAGTCGAAAAAGGAATGCTTTTAAATAAAACCCTAAGGTAAATCGTTTATTCTTCTACTTGGACTATTTCATCACTAAGTAAGGCCTTTACTGAATGAGATATCGATCCTAAGGGACTGATTAAGTAACAATCTAACGTGTCTAAGCAAATAGACCAATTTTCTTGCCATTCGAATTCTGAAAGTATAACAGAAAGTCTTTTTTTACTGATTTCTTCGTTTAAGGTGCCATTTACCACTGTTATAGAGCCTAGGATTATGGCGTAGATGTTACCGCTTTTAGAGCCGTTTACCTCTACAGTATCCTAAAAATGATATATGTTTTTGGCTCTTTTGAGATTTCAAATGAGCCCAAAGTATTTATCAATTTTATTACAATTTATAGGGATAATAAAATACTTCAGGAAGCAAATGAAATCTACATAAAGCAGGAGAAGGACAATTTGAAGTCAGTAGACCCGAAGCTTGCGTTGGCTGAGCAGCGACTTGAAGCTATGTTCCAGGAATTGGTAAATTTATATATTTTTTAAAAAGTGAAAGAAAATCTGTAGTCTCTGGATACCCTTGTGGTTTACGGGTGTGAGTGCTTTTGTTGTGATATCACAACTACCAGCTCTTGGGGGGAGGGGGTCATGTTGATGATGAAGAGAGCGGGACCTAGTAGTAAAAGTTATTTTTAATTCCTAAGAAAATGCTGATCAACATCCATCCATCTAAATTTTCGCATGTATTACTAAGACTTTTCTTAGGGGGAGATGGCAGATAGCCCTCTCTGCCCCCCTCCATTCGGCACCTATTAGTGATATCACAAGTTTTGCAATAAGTGTTTCAATGCCAATTTCCACTGCCGAAACATATGTACAAAAACATTATCTCTCTCATACTCTTTGAGAAAAACAAAGACAGCTATATGTTGTGTACAGAAAGCCCAAAGAGATTCAGACCAAAGATTAAGTACACTTCTCTTGAAATAATTCACATAATCTCACTAACGCTGATGTCCGATAGACAAAATCACAAACAAACAAATAAAACAAGCACTGAGCGTCTCGGCGTGTCAAAGATATTACCGTACAAAGAAGTTACCGGTGTAAAAATGTCCAATCTATATTTCTTAAATATCTGTGACGTAGAGTAATTCCCTACAGGTGTCATCTGAACGTCGTAATATACAATTAGTGTGTGAGAAGCAATGCCTGGCTATAGACATACAGCGTGTTCAAGACATTCACAGCAGAGAGAGCAAGCGGCGAGACTGGGAGGAGAACCTGCTTAAAACACAATGCGATGAACTCAAGTAAGTCATACACGAGTCATACACACACCAAGAGTTCCCTAAATATGTGTCGCACCCGGCTGCCTGGATTCGCCGAAGTAGCGACTGCAGTCTACAGATATACGCAATTTCATACTTGTTTCCTAACTTTTAGCGATATAGGAGGGACGCCCGAAAGAGGTTCCCTTTCTTCTGCAAAATCCAGTTGCTCCTGCCATAGATATTTTATAAGATAATGATACGGAAAAGGACCTGTATTAAAATTAGGCCTCCGTCAAACACTCATCAGACCGAATTTCCACTTTATGTCTTTCTTCTATGTGGTCTTCCTAAAAATAAGATTACCTGAATTACCTAACACTCTAAGACAACCGAGTTTCAGAATTACAAGGCCGATTATTAATCAAAAGCAGACGGTTATTGTGTTTATTAAATCGTCGAATTAATTACGAGCTTTATTTTAATCATACCAATATTATAAATGCGAATGTTTAGATGGATGGATATTTGTTAGATTTCCTAGTCTAAACGGCTGAACGGATTGCAATGAAATTTTATATAGATTTAGAGTCTGGAAGAACACATAGGCTACTCAACTTTTGGTCTAACTAATTCCACGCCGACGGAGTCACAGGCGAAAGCTAGTGTCTAATAAGGTTAAACTATTAAAATTTCAGACTTCAAGTGGATCATCTCCAGAAATCTTTAAATGAGACGCACACCATGGTAACCAGACTACAAACAATGTTATCTTCTAGAACAGAACTTAATCACAAGTATGTATAACCTTAAATATTCATTAACAAAATATGTGTTATTTTGAAAAATGAAAACCATAATATGTGGTTATTTTTCAGGATGATATCAACTAAAGAAGAAGAATTAACTGAACTCAACAAACATTTGGAAAGTCAGATGGAATTGAACAGAAAGTAAGTGCAATTAAAAATATAACGTACGTATTTTAGTAGATATTGAAAATGTTCATTTATAATTTAAAGTAAGTTGGACAACTAGGAATAAGAATAATTTAATTTTTTTTTTTATCATGGCAAGGTTTTAACCTGGCAAGGCATTTAACCTAGCAAGTCTTTTAACCTTTTAACCAGGCAAGGCATTTAACCTAGCAAGCCTTTTAATCAACGCAAATTTACTAATACGTCTAATTTTCAGATGGAAGGAATCTTATATTGACAGGACATCTAAGTTAAAAAAGAATTTAGAAGCGTTATTCAAAGAAAATAACGAATTGAGGTTAAAATTGAACTTACCTTTAATCCAATCACCGAAACGGGATGAAGAAAGTTCCAGCAGTTGAAATACTGGTTTTAAGGTCTTTTTCCACTAATCAAGTTGAATAATAAAAATATTCTTTTAATGTCGATAATGTTCGATTATGTTACTATAATCGGAATCGCTAAATAGTTGCTTAGTAACAAATATAGTAAAGGCTTCGAATTGTGTAAAAGCCTGAATATAAAGATTTAAATCTATTTGTATGTTTACATACGAAAATAACAAGATTTGCTTATTGACCTTGGGTAATTTGAAGGTCGTGTCATTTTGAGATCTATTTTGGATTTTCGTTGGCAAAACAAAGTGCAATATGTATTTGTAATTAACATTTATTTTTTGTTTAATAAAGTGTTGTATATTTATTTGTTAGTTTTAAAGGAACGGGAGTAAAAATCTAAGGATGGGTTTACACTGTCGTTACTATAATGTCTATAATGTTCACGAATTTGATTTTAAATCTCATATGCCATAACTTTTTTATCGCTAAAACTTTTTTAAGTGTATATTCTAATTATAAAATAAGCAAGTATTACATAAACATTAATTTAAATTAAAAACTATAAAATCTTTGTTTTAAAACGCAGCCAAAAGATGGCGCTATTTCATATAACAGAGGCAATTCGGTTTTTTGTTTTTTAATATTTTGTGTATAAATTAGAGATAGAGTTATTTGGAAATATAGTGTCAATTCAGAGCAAGAAAAACAATATATTTAAATAAAAAATCAATTTATTAAATACAAATGCATCTTATGTGATATACATTCACGCTGACACGCATTCAGCGAACATACTGGGAAACCAATATAAAGTTTCTGTGTTCTGTGTGTCGACCCACGCCAGACCTTCCTTTACCATGTGATTGAGGGCATTCTGGGCACGGGTTTCATTCCATCTACAACAATATTACAGTCGAATTCCACTGATATGTAAAATGAAGTATCTATTTTGTCAAAGAGAATGAAATGACAATAAAGTCCGCTACAGAAGCTAATAGTTTTAACGGAAGGTTCGAACTGTTCGGTTAAAACTGGCACATGTAATTTTGTAAACAAACCCCAATAAAGGAATCAATAAGATCATTGCTAGTATTGCCATAAAATAAATAACACATTCGATGCTAATACAACTTATAGTTAGATGGTGGCACTGAACGTGTTAATGTTAAAAAATAACAGTGGTAGAGCCCGCTTTAACATCATCGCACTGTAGGGCCGCCTCGCCCCCAGTAATACCACGACCACGCAGAAGACAGGCGTGAAGTGGGAGTAATTCCGCGTTTCGTCTGATGAGTGTGGTGCCGGAGGACTAATTTTAGTCTCTTTCCCTTTCCACCCTTTTCTTAAGAAAAAAGGATGGGAAGGAAAAGTGGATTTGATGGTGGAGGAGACGCATAGGAAGGGGAAATGTCCTCTTTATGTGCGTCTCCTCCGTCGGATAAGGGTCGGCAACGCATCTGCAATTGCGGATGTCTATGGACAGCGGTCGCTTTCCATTTCGGTGGATTGAGGTAGCCGCTTGCTCGTTTGCAATCTTATATTATAAAAAAAAACTACCGATATCTTATATATTCCCCATTTCATAGAAAATGTCATTCCTAACTAAATAATTCGATACAAAGTCCAATAAAAAATGATTCTTATTTAATATACGATAATAAATAAATTACACGAAAGTTCTTACCCTAAATCACCAGTTAGTACACTAGAAGATATCCAGGCTGTGCCTAAAGTACTCGCTTTCTGTAGAACTAACGTTTGATCTAAGTTTAGTTCACCGGGAACCGATTGTACAAGCCATTTGCCTTTGCCGATAGCAATTACTGTGAAACTGCGAAAAGAAACATTCTTACATTGTATTCAGGTAACAGGTAATATAGAATGTCACAGTAAAATAGTAAACTTTGTTATTTTATAAGATTACTAGCGAAATTGTATTCGTGGAAAATTTCACTTCAAAACTAACGGTCACCCTTGATCAATGTACTATATGGGTTTCAGGATAATCCATTAATTATGGGCCACCTTTCATCATCCTTCTTATCCTACTTCCGTAGTAGTACCAGGTTTTTGTCCTCCTAATAATTCTCATACGTCATCTCAGTCATCCCTTTCTGATCATGTCACCTTACACGCAATCCATGCATCTCTTTCTTGTCAAATTTCAAATTATTCGATGTTAAAATATAAGAACTCGTAGTTTCCAATACAACTCACCCATTTCCGAAGATCCTTAACTTCTTCACAGCGGCCAATAGATCCTCGTTTGTGATATCCTGGTGCTTCTTGGCTCTGCCGCGCGCCGCCACCAGTCTACTCCTCAACTCGTCTAAAGTAATCAAGCCTCCATTCTTATAGTTAGTCGCTAAACATACTTCTACTATCTGCACGCCTAATTCGTAGTAAAAATCGCCAATACCTAAAATGAGAATTAGTATGCTTTTCCACTACGCGACTTGTTCAACCCGCTATGTCGGTGCAGATATTTTTCTGACTACTGCCATAGAAAGTAACCAATCGCTTAATTAAAAAGAAGTTTTACGTCATCAGTACACAGGTAAGTGCGATTTTTTTATATATAAGGAGCAATAGAACTAAGCTGGTTTCGTTATAGCACTACATACTGATTGCATTAATGTTCAGCGTGTAACATACGTTACAGCCCGTAACGTCGGTCAATATGTATTTTACGCATTTTCATATTTTCGTATGTACTAAAGTCCCTATATCAAAATTTCATCACATCAACACATGTCCCTGTGGCGCAGAGGATAGCGCGTTGGACTTCTAATCCAAAGGTCGTGGGTTCGATCCCCACCAGGGATGCGGACGAACTTTTTAAAAATTCCCATATTCACTAAATTTTAAAATTAAAAATTTATAACATTATACAATTTGTTTGTTCTTATTTCTAATTTTACTAATATTATAAATGCAAAAGTTTATGGATGTTTGTTGGAGTTTGTAGCCTAAACGACTAAACAGATTTGGGTGAAATTTCGTTTAGTCTGCAAGAACACATAGGCTTATACTTTCTTTATTCTTTCGTTTTTTCAATTCCACGGACGGATTCGCGGGCAAAAGCTAGTTACCATTAAAACTAAAATAAAGGTTATTGTGAGTAAACTTACAAATAATGTCCCAAACAAAGTGGACAATCAATACAATTATCTAAAATTAACTACATCACTATTACTAAATAAGCAAGACATTTTTTTACACTTTTTTCTAAGATGAGCAGTTTTTCTATATATCAATAGTTCTTACATGGACCATAAGTCACAATTTTGCAATATAATCCTTGTTTGATTTGTTTTTAAATTAACTTGTCAAATACTAATTTCTTTTATAAAGTAGAATAACAATACATTTTAGTTATCTATCTAATTTTAATGCTTTATGCATTGTAATCATAAATTAATTTAAATGTGAATTTTTATACTTTCGTAAGACAAATTTTGTGTTTCAAACATATAATAGTTTACATAGGAACTATGAATTTAGAACTTGATTTTATAAAATGTGTATAACATTTTGTTTTAATTACCATCAAAGGTAACATGTTGTTCATAACAATATAGTAAAACAGTATTATATTGGCTACTACCACTTAAGGCAGTAAACATTAACAATGTTGAACAATATATGGGAGACAGGGTATTGTTCAACATAGCTAAAGTAGATTACAAATCACCAAGAGATATATTATAACTGTTTTTTTATGATGACCTTATTTGAACATACCACTGATTTATTTCACATACCCAAAACAGACCAAAATCCTTTTCCTGAAGCCAGTGGATCAACGCCAATAGCAGCACACATTTCTTGGAATTGTCTTCTAAATTGAGCATTCTTTTTTATTTCACTCTTATGTTTTGTTGCAAACTCTTCAAGGTTCTCTCTGAATACATCTAATTGTTTAGACATCTGTTGGAATTGATTTTCCTGTATTTCTGAACCTTTTTCTCTGTACTTTTCTTGTTCTAACTTCTGCTTTTGTATAGCACCAACGCCTGCTCGACGCCGCATTCTTAAAATATTTTAAAGTAATACGAAAATACAAATGTTTGGTAGTAATTTTACAATTTGCAAATTAATAGCAGTGGTCATTTGTAAACAAGAGAACATGTCAATGTCTCTCTGATAACAACTGTCATTTAGAGACAGACACAGGTTATAAACCGACAGATAATATAAGAAAGATCAAAGTAAAGTGACTTTCTAGATATTCAACTACTCACCACCAGATGGAGTTAAAACGTGGTAATGATGATGTTGATGATTTAATTAAACGATCGTAAGGACGTATGGTCTACTTAGTTTTAAAAAAAAACTTAAAAAAATGGCATAATCGATATAGATAAAGAAGAATCTTATATAAAGTCCCTGAAAAGGTTACGAAAAAGAAATTCTTATGTTTTATACGATAGAGGGCGCTTATTCAATGTACGTTCACAAAAGCCAAAACAAGCGTTTTGATTATTTATAAACTAGCTTTTGCTTGCAACTCCATTCGTGTGGAATAACAAAAATAAAATTATCACATACATCTGTGTGAAATTTTCGCTTTTATAATAAGTATCATATAACATAAGATTAGAAAGATTTACACAGGTCACGTAAAATACACATAAAATGCATCAAATGCATTTAATGCTGTATTAATTAATGTACACACTGCAAAATATTGTATTAAATTAGAAGGAAGTAAAAGTGTTTCGTGTTTTTAGCCGACTTTCCAAAAGAAGGAGGATATCAACTCGTTTTTATTATTCTTAACAAAATTCGATTTACTTTACGAATTCCAATACAACAAAAAGTCACTTGCGTAACATCCCTGGTGGGGATCGAACCCACGACCTTTGGATTAGAAGTCCAACGCGCTATCCTCTGCGCCACAGGGACGGATGATGGTGTTCTCAAAATAATGTATAATTCTTGGGTGGAAATATAGATTATAAAACATTTTTAATAAAGTATTAGTATTCAAAATAACTTATGCAAATTATTCTTTAAAATTCTTATTTACGAATAGTAGAACTAAATATAATATTATTGAAATTAAATTCAAAAATTGCAAAAATAAACTAAAACCACGAAATGTGTCCTTGTACAAAACTTAAACCGGAAATGTCAACAAAGATATTTCAAACACTGTTTGGGAAATTCAAAATTATTGTATAAAAATAATTATACTTTTAAATTTTGAGTGTTTGCTACGTTTTTTTAATATTATAAATATAATAAAAACAACATAATTAAAAATGGAGGAAGAAGAGGCGCAAAAAGATCAAAACTGTGAAAACTCCATTAACATAAAGGATGATAAATCATCCGAAAATTTCCAGAAGTTCATTTACGAATTATTTGAGAAAAATGGTGTACTCAGTGATCTTAGAGCTTACTTACGTGGGCATATTGTTAATGTTTTCAAAAATGTTAATACAGGTAATATATTACATGTTTATCAATATAATATTACAAATAATTGTCAAATTTCATAAATAACAACATAACTAACGCCTATGAACCTGCGGGGTAGGCAGAAATTCCAGTAATTCATTTAACGTGGTTTTGGTACAATCTTGCTCAGGTTTTGTAGCCAGTTTGGAATTAAATGAGAGAAAACTGAGGCTGTAAAGTGGTAACAGCTAAATACTTCAGAATATGGCTAATGCTAAATCAAATCTGTGTTTCCAGGTGAAACTCCAATGTGCCAGAAACATTTTGCTCAACGTCTTGAACTCACATATCAAGCTTTAAATATACTTGTGGCTGAATACCTTATGCGTTTGGTAGGTTAAAAACACTACTTTGGAAAACCCTAATTTAAAACCTTTCCTTATGAACCTGATGGACTCATAGACTAAACAAAAAAATCAATAAAGATTTCGTAAATTTTTTATATGTGATAAATTCTTCATTTTGAAAGCTTGTTTTAATACGGGTTTTGAAGATAATAACTGTTGCCTTAATAATATTTTTTCTTTTAAGGACTTTACTTATAGTCTGTCAGTATTTATATCGGAGATACCTCTAGCAAACATGGTGTTTGATTTAGCCAATTCTCTTCTACAAACTAAAACTGATGATGAATACAAAGAATTGAGATTTAAAGACAGTGATGTTTGGTGTGTTTTAAATTATTTAGGTGAGTATATATCTAAATTGTTTGATTTTGTAATTTTAAATGATAATCATCTTGTCCTTGTCCCTATGGAGGGTTGGCACAGTATGTGCTCTTTTCTAAATCTCTATCAGCCGTCATATCTGAATCTTCTTTCTTGAGCATATTTTTCACAAAATCCATGCTTTCTTCGGTATTCCTCTACCACTGTAGCCATCCTCATTCAATATTTGCATAACAGTTTAATTGATAGACTAGATGGTTTTTATTGTGCTTTTGTGTTTCATAGGATTTTTTCCTTTTATTTTTACAATAATGTATTTCCTTTATGGGAATATAAATGATTGTCTAAGATCAACGGGGAAATAAACTTTTGGGGTGTTTTAGTGTAAATTTATTAACAGTTTATTGAAGATGTTTTTAATTTGTTTAAAACCGATACTTTTTTACTTTTAGGTATAAAATGTGACTCTGAGACTGCATCTAACATAGTATATATGTATAAAGAAGAAGCAAAACTACCCCTTATTTTATGTATTCTTAAATGTTTACCAATATTTCAAAAGCCATCGGAGACTTTTGAATGTGGTAAGTTCTTTTATCTCCATAATGATATGTATTTACTTGTCACTCTTAACATAGGATAAGGTCTGAGCCCCTTAGTGTGATTGTATAGAAGTGATGACTGAGAAAAGGCTAAAATGTCTCTTATTTGAGTTGCCAAGTGATACATAATTTAATAATTACAGTGAGATATAGTTTATACCTCATATGAGATGTTCAATTTAGTTTATTACTGCTACTCCTCGCTAGTTTGTGTGAAATTAAAAAAGTAATAAAAAAGTTTAGCCTCACTTTGAAGAAATTGGCCCAGTAGTTTTTAATTTCAATACATACTAAAATACAAATCTTTCCTTTTAATAGTATAGATAATGACAATGTTTGGTAGTTTTATTTAATACTAGTTATCGCACGCGACTCCGTCCGCGCGGAATTAAAAAAAAATTGAGTAGTTTACGTGTTCTTTCGGACTATCCTCTACATCTATTCTAAATTTCATCGAAATCTGTTCAACTGTTATGCTACAAAATCTAACAAACATCCATCCATCCATCTAAAATTTCGCATTTATAATATTCGTATGATTTTCTTTCAGTTAATACATCAGAAGCCAGTGTGTCAGCAAGTTCTAAAGTCTCAGTGGATAGTTATTTAAAAGGACCGGGGAAAAAAAGCAATTCATTAACAATTTGCAAGCATTACGCCTTTTGTGACAGCTGTAAACAGAGAATGGCGAAAATACAAAGAAAATATAAGAACAAAAAAGAATCTTTATGTAAGGTATGGCTACATCTTACTATTATTATAAATGCGAAAGTTAAGAAGGATGTTTGTTAGAGTTTGTAGCCTAAACTACTTAACCGATCTTGATGAAATTTAGCATATAGAGGACAGCCTTGAAGAACACATAGACTAATTACTTTTGTTAGTTTTAATTCCACGCAGACAAAGTCGCGGGCGTAAGCTAGTAATATTATCAATGCGAATGTTTGGACGGATGGATGTTTGTTACAGTTTGTAGCATAAACTGCTGAACGGATCTTGATGAAATTTAGCATAGATGTAGAGAACAGTCGTGTAGAACACATGGGCTACCAACTTTTTTTTTAATCAACGCGGACAGAGTTGCTGGCGAAAGTTAGTATTGAAAAACATTATCTTTCATACATATACAGTGCATATTACGAAAGTTACTTTGTATCGAGTTAAAGAACGAAAGTTACATATATTGCTCTCTTTTTCTCCCGCCTATTTCATATCTTCCATCTCACTCATGTAACGAAATGTACTTTATTGTGACGCGTCCTTGACTTTTTATGTGTCAATTTTCGTATTAAGAAGTTTCACATAAAATGTTCTTTTGTATTTGTTTTAGGACTCAAAGTCCAACGATATGTTTAAACCAGAAGGCTTTTTTAAGAATATCGATGTTATGGAAAGAGATATTATTGAAGAGGTTTTATTTTAATTTCATCATATTTTGTAGTTAGATAAATTAAAGTGTTTGAAATATGGAGTAGTTTTTACATTGTATATTTATTTTCTTTTGTGATTCTCTAACGAATAAATCGAAATTTACCATTTTTGCGTCAAGTAGTCTTCTATAGTTCAAATTATTTATGTATTGTATTAAACATGCATATATTTGTTTTTAAAGTTTATACAATTTCATCACAAGCTTTTAATGCTAAACTCATAGTTTGAAGAAGATTATTTTTAAGAGTTACTTTGTAGAGATATTATGCTTAAATAGTCCCTTAGTGGCCACTTATTACTTGATACTCCATTAACAGTGGTAGTGCCCGCTTTAACATCTTAGCACTAATGGGCCGGCTCGCCCGGTGAAATACCACGACCACACAGAAGACAGTTGTGAAGTGGAAGCAATTCCGCGTTTCGTCTGATGAGTGTGGTGCCGGAGGCCTAATTTTTGTCCCTTTCCCTTTCCACACTTTTCTTGAGAGGAAAGAATGCGAAGTAAAAGTGGATTTGACGGCGGAGGAGACGCAAAGGAAGGGAAAATTTCCTCTTTATGTGCGTCTCCTCCTCCGTTAGTCATGGGTAGGCTTTCCATTTCGGTGGATTCAGGTGACCGCTTGCTCCTTTGCCACCTTATATTATAAAAAAAATTATAACACTCCCTTAATTGTCCATTAACGACTGTGACAGTTATTACGAAGCAATATATTGTTTAATATATCGCTTCGTACAATCTGACAGACGTTAAAATGTTAATGGAATTTGTAGTTTTAGCGGGGCTTTTTACAGTCTTTTATGTGTCTTGTAAATTAATATTTCATTTACTTTAATCTTTTCAGATGTTCAGTCAATTAAGAACAGTGTATGAGACAGAAGTGGAGATGGTGAGAGAAGAAGAAGAGAGGAAGATCAAGAGGTCTCTAGCGAACCACGCTCTGATACTGCAAAAGAGATATGATGAGGTATGTAGCGTACAATTGTGAAAGCTAAGCGAATACGATACTCTACCTATCCCCTCCCCTTCTCAACCTTTTCGTATAAGAAAAAGGGGATGAGGATAGTTATAAAATAAATTTCACAGCGTCGCAAAATGAAATATAAACTTTTAAAATATTATTTAATGACACCTGTTAATTATTAAACTAAACACAATCTTACTAATATTATAAATGCGAAAGTTTAGATGGATATAGAGTTTGTAGTCTAAACGGCTAAATGGATCTCTATGAAATTACTATAGACATAGGAGGAGAGTCTGGAAGAATACATTAATTAGGCTATTTTTTTTAATTCCACGCGGACGGAGTCGCGGGTGAAAGCTAGTTAATTATATTATGAGTGCTAGCGTAAGTGAGACACTTTTACAATATTGAGATTTATGTTTTCATTCTCTTTATTATAGATGGAAGAATCATTTAAAGCACGGGAAGTGGAGTTGGAAAGTAATGTAGAAGAGAAGAAGAAGTTCCTGTGGGGGTTAGCGCGGGCGCTGCGCGACCAGCACTCCAACATGTCGGTTGCCATGGAAACCGTACAGATGGAGACTGCACGACTGAACAACAAGGTCAGATATACGGATTATTCCCAACCGTCACCCCGCGATGTCCCCACGTGGGACAGGTGAGGATAAAAATTTTCATCCATCCCATCTTTTGCGTCGAGGGGACGGTTGGAACTGATTTTGTTCCTTAACGGTCCATTTGTCCATCTGTCACCTTATTGGTGATAGTGGGACTGATGAAACATTTTTCTTATCTTTAATTAAATTAAAATTAATCTTTAACAAAAATTAAGAATTAATAAAAATAAAATAGAGTAGTCTATAAAATATTATCTTCCAGACTATCCTCTACATCTTTACCACATTTCATAGAGATCCGCTCAGCAGTTTCGGCTACAAACTCTAACAAACATCCATCCATCTAAACTTTCACATTTATAATATTATAGTAGAAAGAAAGAAGAAAGAAGAAAGAGAGAATCTTTCTTTCTTATAATATTATAGTAATAGTATGACAAATTTTTCAGGAAGAAACTCTACAGAATCAAATAAAAGAAGCAGAACATACTTTAAGAAAACGAGGAGAAGAAATGAGAAATCAGATAATGAACGAAATGGTACAACTCGAGTCTCGCTTACACTCTATGAGGATAGAAAGAGACGCGATAGAAAGAGAGAGAAGTGAATTAGAGAAGTTAAAAGAGATATGCGATAGTAATACTAAAATTAGTCTACACAATATGAAAGAAAGAG